GCGGCCTTCACAGGTTTCTGGGGGAGAGGGATAGAGGGGAGAAAAGCATAAAATCAATGAATTAACTGGTATCTCATTTGAGTTTGTTCTACTTATCTTTTTTGAACAATAAGCAGTATACACACTGCCAGAATTACTAGTTCAGAGACATGATAAAACTTTCTAAACTGATTAAGAAATTCCAATTATTACAAATTATGAAGCTGTAAGTAAACTCGTTTAAAAAAAAAAAAAAAGCTAGTGGACACACTTCATACCTCGTAGCCTATCGTCTACACAATCCTTTCTCACAGGGCAGCCACATGAAAGCCACTCAGGGTTTCTTGAGGCATTTCGAAGTGTCCTTAATACACAAAAATACTGGAAAAAAGGCTTTGCTGTAAGACCAATACTACACATAAGGAAATCACTGCCCCCAAATATCAGATGAAACCCTGGGATTTTTAATAGTAATAGATTTATTACAAGTTGAACCCAAGCTCCGACGATGCTCTTTCTGCAAAGGAGCTAATTTCCCAGGAATTCTTGATTCAAAAATCATCCACTCTTCCCAGAGTCCTCCACAACTGGGGACAACATCTGGAAAGGCCACATTCATGTGCATGTAATTCAACAAGTTAACAAGGTATTTGTCAATAGTTTATGCCGAACGGTCCAGAAAACAGTACTCAAAGAAAGCTAATTACAATTCAATGTCTGGACAAACGAATGGACTACCGTGGGCTCTACTCATTTTCCTATAAACTAGATGCCTGCAAACACTCATTTGCTTTCCCCTGCCAAAAAAAAAAAAAAAAAACACTCTGCAAAGGCACTGCATTTCAATACTTTATCATTAGTATTTATTAAAGACTGGGACATGCATGGTGGGGCGGGGGTGATGAGGTCACAAAGAAGTAAATTCTTCGGAAGTTTGCACAGATAAAAAATGCTACCTGTGTAAAATCTTGTGTACTTGATGAAGGTTGTAGTGAGTGAATGTTATTTACAATGAATAAACTTGTTATCTCTCAGACTGCACCTTATCCAACTAAGATTTCCAAACAATGCAAATTATCTCCTTTGCATGCATTTCAATTATACAAAGGCAATCGATTTGCTATTTCCAAGCTTCTCTTATACACACACACACAAAACTGAGAGGAAACTGCTGATTATGTAGGAGACAAAAAACACTCTGCTCTATCATCTTAAATATAGTGCGGTTAGAATTCCCAGTATTGTACTACAATTTACTTTTCTCATCGAAAACTTTTTAAATTTTACCATTACATATCTTTCTGAAGCTAACAAAAAAGCTTTAAGTTTAGTATATCTTAAATTTTATAAAATACTACAACTAGAGAAGACGTTTTAGAAGAATATGAATGACATGGTAAAATCATTACGCTTTAGCAATCCTACGGTCAAGAAGCCAAGATATCCCTTACCCCATTGTTAACTAGAATAACCAATCATACCATACTGCAGATTTTAAACACCTAGTATTTCTTCACTTATTACCTCCAATTTATCTTCCCTCTCTCTCGTGCTGTCACAGCATATGCCAATTTCTGCTTTAAAATCTGTTTATGCCTTAACCAACCCTATTCGACCGCAGAGTTTAACAGAAGTTATGTCCTCCATCGGACTTTAGAAAATCTACAGATCCGAGTTCCAATCCCGACTCCACAACCTACTAAACACGCGGTCTCAGGAGAGTTACTTTATCGCCGTCTTTCTGGTTTCTACGTTTCGCCTATCTTTCAGTTTAGACTTAAGTACTAAAAGATACATATCCTTTGCACATAGTATAGAATGTAAAGTTTTCACTGATTAAACGATCAAATTTTAGTTATGTCCCATATCTACCTGCAAAATCAACGCAATTAAATCTCAGGTGACTTATTTTCTCAGACCCTAGTCTGAGACACGAACAAGCATTAGCGTCTTTCTCCTTCCCCAACTTCCGAAGAAGGTACCTCAGGAGAGAGAAACCGTGGGGGGATAAACGACTAGCCCCAGGGGGAGGGAGTTCGGTCTCACCGCCAACTTCAGAGGCGCGTCACCTCGCCCCATCATCAACCCCACAGTTGCCACCGCGGAAGGAAGCCACGTCCCCACTTCCGAGCCCAAGGTGAGACTAGGGATTACAATGCACTTTTAAAAAGTACCGCGACGGGCAACGCTTTGGGGTCGGTATCAGCCCAACGGCCACAGGGGCTCGCCCGGCCCCTTCCCGCCAGGGCGCTCCCCACTCGCGCCGGCCGCGGCTGGACTGGGGCGGGCCGCCATGTTGCCCGAGCAGCGGCCGTACCCCGAGCGCAGCCCGCCCTGCCCGGCCCTCCGCGCACCCGGGGGAGACAGTGCGGTTGGGCGGGCGAGCGCAGAAAGCCCGCTAGCGGCGCCCACCTGGTACTGGAGTGGTGACTGGCGGGACGGATGTCACCAGCGTCGTGTTTATCTTGGTGGTGGGCTCCGGAGTCGTTCCGCCTGGGGCGAGGGTCGTGTTCTGACCCGCGGATAGCACACACAGCGCGGCCAGGCAGGTGGCGGCCCAAAGCGGTGGGCAGGAGAGCGCCGACATCGTGTCCTCAGCGCTGGTGTCCGGCCGAAAGCTGCGGCGCACAACGCTCAGTGCCTCCGTCCCCTGCGGCGCCGCTTGCGAGACTTCGCTCCCCCGCGGGAGCGCGCTGGGGTCACGTGAGGGGCCCCAGGCCGCGGCGCGCGGGGGCGAGGCTGAGTGGAGGCGGGATGAGGGCGATACCAACGGGAATTCTACGGGGGGAAGCAAGGGACTCAAGAGAAAACCGAAGGAGGCTGTCCCTCAAAGCGACTGTAGTATAGCAAGGAAACTGCCCAGACTCTGCAAGTGGTTTTACTTGTCCTTATATTTCCACACAAGGAGCAGTTGGACGTTCCTCGTGCCTACCATAAGAAAAGCCCCCACCCTGGCTTCGATGGAACAACCTACGTGACGTGGCTTATGGCGTCCCCCTGAGCGCATCGCGAGGCCGTAATTCCGCGGCCCCACGTGACCTCTGGGGCCGCGCCTGCTCGAAAAAGGGCGGAAGTTGTTTTTGTGCGGTGCTCGTAGAATGAGAGCAAGAGCTAAATTTGTGCTGTGCTACCGTGTCCCCGAGAGTACTTACTTATATCCTCACTAGGACCCCCGCCTTTTTCCCTGAAGATCGATTTCGCTGGAAGTAACCTTGCGATGGGACTCCCTGGGGAAATGGAGACACCACGTGGTTGAGTTTCTGCTCTGCCGCCCAGTGTGAGCGGCTGAAGCACGGAAAGCGGTCCCTGCCAGAGCTGCATACTGTCTCACACTTTCCCAGCCTGGCTTTTCCTAATTGTAATTTCAGACGGCGATAAGCAGCACTCAATTCCACCACTGTAGTCAGAGAATTAAAGGCGGTCTGAATTGCAAGGCCACTGGGTCCGTCCCCACATTACAGGTGAGGAAATTGAGGCTCAGAAAAGTGACTTGACCTAGACGCAGGATTGCCTGGCGTCAGAGCTGGATTTTTAAGTGCCTGTAAGTGTTCGAGCACTGCACAGGCTTTTAAGTAAGAGTGAGCGCCAACTGATGCCCAGTCTCAAAATATTTGCAAAATTTAATATGCTTATGTCAATTGGTAAAAATTAGACTTTCAAAAGTTGTATTTAATGCCGTGTGTTTTCAGTTGTTTTATATTTAAAATGTAATTTTAATTATGGCATATTTACCCTAATAACATGAATATTAATTACTTTTGTAAAGCCTTGTTTTGCTCTGCCACAAACACTGAAAATGATGAGTACATAAGTGCTTTACCTTTTTGCCTCGAGTCGAAAGCTTTTATTCTCCCGTGGAATCTAATCAGTGTGGTCCTTCTGTACCCTCATGACTATGAATATTTGTTCCATTGACTACACTTGTTGGAGATTTACTTGGATGTAAACAAACATGATTTTAACTGGTCTAGCCTATGGCCGTCAAGTAAGAACGTCTGCTCTTCTCTCAGGGCGCCTCTTATGCCATATTTAGTACATGACTGTCTGACACCCAGACTAAATGAAGATAGAGTCAACTTTTATTTTTTTAAGGTTAAAAATATAATAGAAGTTCTGCTCTCATACCCCCACGGATTATCTTGTTTCCACTTTAGGATGAACACACACCACTTTGGAGACCATCGTTTCACAATTTGTCATCTGAGTGTTCAAGTCTAGTCCTCAGATTTTCATTAGTCCTCATAAGGGGGCATTTCACTGTTTTAAGACTAGAAAACCATTGGCTTATTTTATCTTGCATGGCATCTGTAGAGGTACATCAAGGACATTTTAACCATTCTAGAGAAACAGCTTTATTTTCAGTTCCTGAAGGAGCAAGGTATCTCAGCCTTGGCACTATTGAGATTTTAGTCTGGTTAATTCTTGCCTGTCCTGTGCATTATGAGATGTTTAGCAGCATTCCTGGCCTCTACCTACCCCTCAGTTGTGCCAACCAAAAATACTGCCCAGCGTTTTTAAATGTCCCTTGGGGGGTAAAGTCATCCCTACCTGAGAACCACTGTCACAGAGGCTTCTGTTTGCAAGGTCAGCTATCACTCAGGTTATTTCCTTTTAGAGACTTTACGTGCAATTAGATTATTGATTGGTGGTTAGATTCACCTTCTTAACCATTTCTTTCCTTGAAGGCAACAAGACAGAATGCTTCTGCTTTTGTGATTATGCTAGCAGTATAAGCCCCCTCTAATTTTCTAAACCCAAAATAAAAAAAAATTGCTTTGACCTTCTGTCAACACCATCCCCCAAACAAACAGACCAACACTCCAAACAGGAGCCCGCCTTCTAGCTCTAAGTATAGCTAATATCCAGTGGTCCTTTAGTAATCAGAAGTTTGCCTATACTCCTTGATAGCAAAAAATAGAAACCCTCTTATACTAGCTTATATTAAAGGGGATTAATTCGTAGTAAGAATATGACAGTAAATCTTAGGGACATTTGGGGCTGGGAAACCAAGTATGCGTGGGCCAAGGGAGATTTAAACTTAAAAGGAGGAATCCCTGGCATGTGAACCTGGTTTGCTAGGACATTGCTTCAGGCTCCAACCCCATGTGGCCTTGCCAGCTCTAGTGTCCACAGCTACCATCTCCATTGGCCAGTATTACAGTATAGTTCTTGGAAGAGATAACTTGAATGACATACAAGGCCTTCCCAGCATGTCCACTACCTACTCTCTCCTCTGACCCCATCCTATGAAATCTACACTAGAGTTCTTTGAAATTTCAGTTCTAACTGGTTATATTTTCTTGTGTCTGAGCAATTTCTGCTGCCTACTCTTATCCCCTTCTGGCACATGGCTGACTCTTACCTCTTCCTTCAGGTCTCTCAGCTAAGATGTCACTCCTGTCATAAGCCATCCTTAAAATCCTGAACTACCCCTTCTTCCCACTCCTAGACTACAGAAGGTGTTCCTGCTCTGTGCACCCATGCACCCTGGACTTGGGCATAACAAAGCATATACCACATCATAGTGCAATTGTTTGTCTTCCTCACTAGATTGGCAACTTTGAGAATAAGGACGGTGCTCACCAATTTATTCCCTGCTCCAGGCATGAGGCCCAGTTCATAGTAGGCACTTCATTGATATGATTTTAAAAAAAAAAGAATGAGTAAATGAACAAACTGGCTCGCTTCAGTCAGTTGTCCATTCTTGCCAAAAACAGCAGTAGCTAAGAGCACAGAAGGGCACCTGCTACCCCTGGCTCCCTGAACCACAGCCCCTCCTCAGCTGCGGGTCAGGGCAGATTCATTTAGAAGGGGTACAGGTGGGAGGCCAGAACTAGCACCTATAATGCAGTTTAACAACGTGGAGTAAGCCTCATGTAATAGTATCTAAATCAGTTTTGACAAAATGAGAGAAGGATCAGGACAAATCAAAGATTAATAGAGAGCTAAAACTGTATATTAGATTCTTACAATTAACACTATGATTAGGATTGATGATGAAATACTAGAGGTATTCTCATTAGGAGCTTTTCCACTTTGACTATGGGATATTTCTTTGATATCTGTTCCAGGGCTCCAGAGGGGGAGCGTTACACTTCAGAGCAGTTGTTCTCAACTTTGGCTGCATGGGGTTGGGGGCGGCATGGGGGGAGATGAAAAATACTGGTGCCTGGGTACTGATTTAATCAGTCTGGAGTAAAGCCTGGGCATCAAGAGTTTTAAAAGCTCCCCAGGTGTTTCTAATATGCAGCTTAGGTTGAAAACCACTGCTTCACTCTTCCCAAAGTGTGGTCCATGAACCTATATCATTTATGTCACCGAGAACCTATATCATTTATGTCACCTAGAAATGCAGACTCTCAGCCCTCACCTCAGAACTCCTGAATCAGAACCTGCATTTTAGCAAGGTCCCCAGAAGATAGGCACACATGCATAGTATCAAAGTGTGAGAAGACTGCTTTACACTCTAACTTTCAGACACTGTTCTAGCCCTGTAAATTGCTACGGTTCTTAGTAGCGATTCTTCATCTACAAAATTATGTCAAAGAAGACATTTTATAGTTTGTTTTTTTCACAAACATATGTAAGGTTGGGGTACAAACAACACAAAACTCCTGGATGTGCAAGAGTCATGGAGCCCAGCCCAGGTTCTCTTTAGGATGGCACCTAAGATGCATAATTTTTATTTCTGTTCTGCCTCAAATCCTGGGTCTATAGAGCTCTTTGCATCATATGTCTTGGTCCTTTAGGAAATGGAAGACTTTTTCTGACTTGTTCCTTAGGAACAGCCTCCAAGTTCAAGCTGAACCACCCAGCAGCTTTCTGCTATCCTGCATCAGCTATGACTTCCCTCCTGCTCCTACCCTGGAGAGCTGATTTTCAGCCAGAACACACCCAGTGGCCACTCTGGTTATTAAAATACTCAGGTAATACTCTGATTGGCAAAGAGCATGCCCTGAGCAGCCCAAATGCCCCAGTCCCTGCCCCAGGCCCTCAGACTGCCCTACTGCCGTTCTCCAGCAGCTGAAGGGCTACATCCCACCCAGCCAAGAACTCCAGGACCTTGCAACCGGCTCTGGGCACTGTCCATTCTGATCGGCCAGTGTATGCATACCTCCTCTGCTGCTTTGCTGGAATCAAAGTTCCTGTCTCATCATTTTTCTTCTTTCTTTTCCGTTTTAGGTCACACTTGAGTGTTTTATAGCTGTTCTCTTTCTCCTGCATACCTGTGTGCCACTAAGTTGCTCATAAATCTGTCTTTAATATGTGCCAGTGGGTTTTAAAGTGTGGTCTCCAGACCAGCAGCATCAGCATCACTTCAAATGTGAGATTTTTTTTTTAACCAATATTTTTTTATGATGTATAAAATTTGATCTGGACTGACTTAAGATTTGCCAGATTTAAGTGGTGGTGATTCCATTTTGGGAAGGGTAGGAGATAGTATGATCAATATAGTTTAAAAAATGAGTTCCTCTTGTATACTCCTGGATAGAGCTGGAACGCATTCTACTAAGTGAGGTATCCCAAGAATGGAAAGACAAGCACCACATGTACTCACCATCAAACTGGTATTAACTGATCAACACATAAATGCACATATAAGAATAACATCTATTGGATGTTGGGCAGGGGGGAGGGGGGAGGAGGGGACGGGTATTTGCATACACAAA